ATTATGTTGTGCCAGAAGGGCAACAACTGTCTATAAAGATTAAGGTATTCTTGATGGGTAGATATGTCTGTGTTGTGCAACAACATGGACAAGCTATGATAAGTGAAGTGCATCTCAGCTATCTAAATACTGAGGTTCACCAGATGTGATAAGCGTTGTACAAGATAAATTGCTACTTTGGCATTCAGAACATAGTATAAATAGAATAACTCTTGTTTTCATCAATAAATCTTTAGTTTTTGTGTCTGATCTTATTCAAATAAGTCTTTTGTTTTTATAATATCGAACTTTTTTTATAAGCTGCAAATAATAATTCTTTTATTCTTTGTGCTTAACAAATTCATGCCACAAAGCGTTTTGAGCGTTTGGAATGGCACCACACGCCTTTTCTTGGCCACGCTTTACTTCCTGATTCTTTATCTCTTTTTTTTTGGTCATTGCAAATTCATGAAAATCTTCATGTTTTCATGAGTATTAGCAAGGGAAAATTCTAAAGAATCAAACAATTGTGTTTTTCACCCAAAAAAAGAAGACTTTTCCTATAATACATATTAGATCAAATTGATTGCAAAGATAAAATGCAACATTGAAAACTCTTTCTATGAGACTTGTATATGCGAAATCTTGAGATATTCACAGAAAACCAGTTTTCATATTTTTGCGAATTGCTTGTTATTTTCAGTCTAAAACCTGTATTTAATTAGCACCATTCGATGCGGCTTTTTAGTTCTCTAGAGATGTATTAGAAAGTTGGGTGCAGCTACGACAGTTTTCATAGTCAAATTTGGCAAAAACGTTTGAAGGATGTGAAATCAAGTCAAGTTTGAACACGAAAATACCACTGCACAAATTCAAATTAAATTGCCGCAATTACCGCTGCTACGGTACAATACTGAGACTAAATCTGCAGGCGGTGACGTCGGATAATATAGCGTGCTCTCTCATTGTTTCATATCCCCGTTTTTTTTCCCTTTTTGCAAAACGCGTTTAGCATCAAACCATGGTGGTTTTGGAAACCGTTTAATTGATCATAGCACTCTAGCTTTCGATAACTCTATCTTGTACTGTTGGAAGAACTTGATACTGCTTCTTTGAAATGGAATATATTAGGTGACATTCGAAAACCAGCATTGGAAGGCGTAGAATTAACACTGAGTTTGTTTATTAGGTTTTAATAATTTTTTGCTTGTTTGAGTGATCGCTGCTGCCATTACTTCTCGGCCATCTCTGCTGCCTGCTTCTTTTGTTTATCATGTCTGGTGGTTGCTTCTTTGGTCTTGGTCTGGTCTCTGCTGGTATCGTTCGTTCTTTGGTTTCTTTATGGTGCTGGTGTTGCTGCTACTGCTAATCTGGTCTTTCCTGGTCTACTGTCTTTGGTGCATGCTTGCTCTCTGGTTTGTCTCTGGTGATTGCCTATACTTTTCTGGTCTCTCTGTAGCCGTGGTAAGTGGTAAGTATTTTCTTTCTTCTGGTCGCAATAATATAAAACTTCTTTGAACGTCTATATGATTGCTTCCTTTCTCGTGATAACGCATTCATGATGTTTGCCTTGTTGCGCTTTTTTCTTCTTATTATTTTTCTTTTGTTGGTAATGTTTCCTCTGTAGCTTTACATGAAACAACATTAGTCATTATGCTGCATTGCAAACTTATAATACCACTGTTGCTTTTGCAGTTGTGCGTGTTTGTGCCATGCTGCTTTACATCCGATTATTACTACCATGCACGTTGCTCATGTATGCAATTTTATTGCAACAACAAGCTGTTTTGAACATCTTTGATGTTGCGTTTGTTATGCTTTTCTTTGACTCACTTCATGTGAGTGTCTCTTTTTGCCTACATACTACTATACTCGTATAGTATTATATTCTTTTCTTTTATTATTATTATGTTTCTTTGAAGCATACCTTTTTTTACGTTGTGTGGATGTGCCTATCCCTGAAGCTCAACAAGACATTATCCGAGGCTAGGAGGTAGATAGGCCGCCTCCACTTGGTTATCGCTACTTACTTTAGTGATGATTGAGAGCCTCAACGCCTGAATCTAAAGCTAGGTGGTGTAAGTAAGGCATGCTCTAGCACCTGAGGGAAATTTGATGACAGCGCACACTGCTATATTTGATATACCTAGCGGCGCTTAAAATTTTGCCTCACATCAAAGTAGGGGGAAACCCTCGCAAATTTTTTTTAGGTTTGCGGAGTTTTCAAGCAATCTGATTGGCTAAGAGGTTGAAGTAACGAAGGTCTACAACTAGTTGGTTTCTTATTGATCTGTCACTTAATATAATTTTGTGTTTGTAATAAAAGTGTATTCAAATATAGATACAATATACCGTAAATCCCTGTTTATATAAAAGTAAGATAAGGTGCAATCATTTGATCTAGCGTCTACCAAACAGTTTTATTTGAGGAATATTTGGCAAAAGATGTATGATTGTTGTCAATTATTATGTTTAAATCTTTTGCATGCATTACATTGAATATTCCCTGAATAGCAACCGTAACGTTTTTCTTCTGTACACAATCCTTTCCAATAATGGTCCAAATTCTTTGAGGGCTTCGCTATATGTGTGTTTTCATCTCCCATGTAGCTTTTTGACAGAGACAATGCTTGATGAACCGTACCTCTCTTGAAAAATGTTCGCTCTGTTTAATAAAATGAAATATAAGCCTATCATAATAGCAGAGGGTGGATTTAAGTAATCCTTTACAGGCGGTATTGCAGACTTTATTTTTGGGCACGATGAGGAGGAGAGGTAATGTAGTAGAAAGAAAGGAGGCTCTTTTTTCTTCTTTCTGTTATTTTATTCGAGTAGTAACAACGAACTGCTGAGAATTGAATCTTGTTTATAAACAGCAGGAAATGTCTATTGATTTTTAATTAGCATCATAAATATATCACATTGGATCGACCATTTAAATATGTAATTGAAATTTCTCAGCAACAACAAACAAGCAGCTGATTACAATGATTTCATGACTTGAGCGTCAATGATGTTACGCAAACTTGAATCTAACAACTTACTCAGATCGAACGAGTTGCTTATCAGCTTAGCAGGACACGTTTGGTGGTTGTCCACAACAAAGATACCATATCTAGCCGTGAAACTAGACATAAAGTATATCCACGATGTTAAACATTCATATTTAATGAGAAATGACCGAAAACCAACAGGCTCAGTCAGTGTCAGCACAATTGGGGAAGCAAACAAAACTTTTTATCAAAGTCGAGCGAATAGAGATTTAGGATATCTGAAAATTTTATAATAAAAGATTCGACACCAAGAGATTGTAGTGAAATCGTGTTTATATGGTTTCACGGAGGATCTACACTGCTAAAAAGAATAGCTCCAGCCAAATTGTCCAAACTCAATCGCTCAAAGCTAACTTTGCTACAGCGGTGTATATATAATTACTTTTGTGGATTGCTACTAGTCATACCACGCTTTATACTTAATTTATAGACTTGGGCACCTTGTGGAGATTTCTGTGCTGTTGTGATTAAAGTAAAACGTGTTTTGCCATTGTGAATTCTAATTTAATGGCTAAACCACCCCAATTTTTGAAAGGAAGCATAGCAGTATTAAGTGCCCTGACGAGGACTTATCCGGCAGAGCAAACACAGGGGAGCAAAATTTAGCTAAAAGAGAAGAAGTGTGGTTGAATTGGCAGTTGTGCATATAATAGTGCGTGTCGAAACACTGGTTTTCTTTATATCGGTTCCTTTACACTTTCCTCGCTTGATTATTTGGCAACAAATGTAGCGACTGAAAACCACTTTATATGTTTAGCAACCCCTCAAAATGGGTATATAGTCTTCCTAATAAAAGGTCCTCTTTAGCATCTACATAAGGCGTGAAAAGGCTGCTCCACCTTCTTGGTAAAATGCACTGCACACCTGCGGCCCTTTGCCAAACCACAACAAAGCAAGATATCGCCAAGGGGCTCTCAGTACAGCATTTTCTGACGTCTGATCTATTAATCTGTGGCCCGTAATTACTTGTAATTAACAGATTTTCATATGAAGGTCATGTTTCAACATTCGCTTATCTCGAAAAGCATTCAAAATTGATGCTTGCTGAGTCGGCATGCAGTTTTTGGTTATGGAGTACCCTTGCAGCTATTTCATATCAAGAGTGTCATGATCAAATGATAATGTTTTCACTTTGTTTATTATTGCATCTAGGTTTATGATCTTCAATATGTATGAAAGATTATCACGTCAATTATAAGACATAGAACCTTTCTGGTTTGTTACAGGCCATCAAACCGAATTAAGGTATGCATTAACTGTTGTTAAGGATATAGGTCAATCGTAGTTCGATCTACTCAAAGATAAATAAAGAGGAAGCCGTATTCAGCCTTGTTCTTTTTATAAATGTTCACTTTTGCATTGTACGCTGATGCGATTGTGGTTCAACTAAATGCAACTTGATCGTGATGTGCCAAAGAAAAGAATCCTGTCATCTGAAATGCAAAATGATACTATACTTTTAATTAATTAATTGACTATACGTCATGCAGGCATTTATTTGGATATAGGCATATACTGTAGATGTGTACAAGGCACTGTGTCATACTGGTTCAAATTTCCTATTTTGATCGAAACGATATATATATATACAGCTGCTAGTTGTGTCAAACAGCAAACACAATCAATATTTCACTGATGAGGGAAATCCGGTTATTGTCAATAGAATGGATGTCCTATTTTAGAATTCCAAGCCAAGACCTAGTAGAGGGTTATTAATATACAACTAGTACTTGATTTTGCACTTTTTGCATCATAATTGGTGTATTCGGTAATAGCTAAAGAAACCCAGTGACTGAAGTGGGCTAAGCTTATTGGAGCAGTGCAGAGTTGCAAGAGGGTATAAAAAGCATTTTAATCTAGTGTTCTTTTATGCCCCTTTTTTCCTCTTTCATACATTCATCTGTGTATTAAAAAATGAGTAATTTTCCCTCAGGTTGGTTCTTTATTCAATCCAGATGCCCACATAAAATGGTACTTGATGTTAGCTTGGATTCATTAAAGGTAAGTAATAGGAACGGGCTCCTTCTTGCTTAAGACTAAATTACATTTCGCTTAAAAGGCAGCGGCTAAAGTCGTGGTGTGGACTAAAAAGACAAAGGATATCGATAATCAATTATGGATGTATGATCACGGCTATATCATCAATAAGAATTCAGGCATGGGTAAAGTCGAACGAAAGAAATAGCCATTTCCAACAAAAGTACTAAACATCTCAAACAGTTTTAGATGTGCAAGGTGGTATTTTGGAAAGCGATAAACAAATCATTCAGTATAAACGCAAGATGATTGAGGATGCACAGAATCAGAGATGGTATTACCGCGAAGATGGTGTTATATACCCACAAACAAACCCAAACCTTGTCCTCGATATCAGAGTAAGTAGAGCATCGCTAGGCGCATTGGCAGGATACTCACCAATTGGTGAAAAAAACGATAGGGCAATTGGACTAAACCAGGTACAGTCGTGTTACTTTATGAGAGAAAATACGAGGACAATGAGAATCAGTTGTGGGATTTAGTGCCTTGCGATACAGCTGATGCCTCAAGTCTTCTCAGTCCATCCAAATCCTCTGACGAAGGAGATGAAGATGAGGATTATGCATTTAGTTCTGCAAGTTATGCTTTGTAAAAAAAATAGGGAATAAAATAAGCATTGTGTATATATCATATAAAAGCACTTTATATTTATTGCTGTTGATGCTTCTTCTTGTTCTTTTTGGTAACCACTTTGAATTCGGGAACTGCCACAGTGGAAGATGTAGGCAATATCACATTCAGCTTTTTACCATCCATGTCTGCCTTTCTGCGTGTCATGAAATCGCTTGCAAATCGGCGCCCATCCATAGAAGTCGAATTCGCATAAATAATGTCCTGTATAATTTCAGCACAACTACCGTCCATTGGGAAGCTCAGCAGCATTTGTAATATTTCATCGCCATTGACACCCGCGTTCAGATTTCGTAATGACAGCTTACACCATCTCAGAAAGTCTTCGCTGGGGCCTCGAGGTTCGCTTTTGATGGTGGGATGTCCTGATGCAGTGGTACTTTGAGCAGATGGATGTTGCTGCTGCTGCTGCTGCTGCTGCTGATGGTTATTGCGTTTGAGGGAAGTAGGGGGTATGGAAGCTGTCATGGACAAGTGCTTTTGTCTACGAGTAATTGGCTTTTCCCAAGGATTGTTTTGCTGCTTATTTGGGAGGCGAGATGTGCTTGTGTTCGTGGAGAAGGAAGGGCTGATAGTGAAAGAGGCTCTTGATGATACAGAGGACCATGTATTCGATCTCGGTGTAGGACTGGTGTGTTTCTCCTCTTCCTTTCGAACCTCATGCAATGTTTTTTTCTCTGCTAACGCTGATGTCGAAGTAGGAGCAGGATCGGATAAAGCTGCTAAAGGCAAGTAAGCAAAAGACATTCATATTATAATTACTGGCAATGCTTGGTTTTACTTACATTCTGTGTCGTCCTCTATATCTTTGGATGTCAGTCTTTCCGTGGATTTAGGAGCTGTCAAATCCAGGTGATTCAACGCTTCTGCTAGTTGATCATTTACTGCATTTTCTATATTTTCCTTGGTTTGCGGGGGTAGAGGCGATACAGAAAGTGGAGAAAACTCGAGCACTGAAGTCGTCAACGGTAGTTGCGGTTGAGGACGATCGGGCAATCCCCACACACTGTGCCCTGAATCAGCCACAGTGGGTGTTCCAGGCACAGAGTTCCATCCTTTATTCAATGCGTTAATTGACATTGGTTGCTGCTGCTGCTGTTGTTGTTGCAATAAGAGATTCTTGTTTTGATCAAAACCCAATCTTGGATTGATAAGCATGTCTTGCTGTTGCTGTTGCTGTTGTTGTTTTTGCTGTTGTTGTAATAGGATTCTCTGTTGAATCTGCAAATGTTGCTGTTGATTCTGACGCAACATGTTTAGGTATTGCTGTTCCATTTGCTGACTGATGGCCTGCTGTTGCTGTTGTTGTTGGAACTCATTCATTGCAAATCCAGGGCTATTCAATGGTTCCACAGAGGATTGTCTTTGGTGCAAGTGAATGTCATTCCCACTGTCCAACCAAGAATGACTGCTTGGTCTATCCCAAGGTGATAAAGGCGTGCGAATGGAGCTGTTCCCAGGCAGTGGATGACTGCCACGAGTCAAGGGCGAAACGAAAGGTGTGTTATTGCCAAATGGAGATGATGAGGTATTGGCACTGAACATATACCCATTGCTGTTGCTGCTGGGAGTAATATCACTGCCTCTCAATGCATCGATGGTATTGTTGTCCATAGCAAAACTGGCAAAGGTGGGTTTGCTTGGTGCAACATTTTGGAACTGATCAAACGGCGTAGGTTCTGCTCGTTCGCTTCTAAACGGGGCAAATGGCGAATGGCTAAACCCAGAGGTGATGGGAGGCCTCAGTGTGTTGATAATGCGATTGTCTTGCTGACTCGCTGGCCAAGATGTAAAAAAGGGCGTTTTGGCATCATTGACCTTTCTCATCAGAGCAGAGAGGGGCTCAAAAAACGGCGCATCTTCTCGCTTGACGTGCAATGCATGATCAAAGTAGCCGGCCTCAAACCATTCCTGCATCTCTAAAGCCGTAAACGGGCCCTGCACATTGCCTAAAGGGTCTCTATACATCCATTGATACGATGTGTGATTGTCGCTGGTGGCAGTGGACACAGGCACAGGCGGAGATGATGATGTTGCTGTGGAAGTAAAGAAGCTGGTAGTAGTAGGATGAGATGCAGCACGTCGATGTTCGTTGCCGTTTTGGAAGGTTGTGAAAGAGGATGAAGGGATATCATTTCTTTGCTCGAATTCAGTGTTTCCAAGAGGCAAATTAGATGGTGTACCCAAGCGAAATACGCCATTGCTATCAAATGTGCCCAAATTCTCTTTCTCGTCCTGGCTCCAAAGAGGAACATCGTCTTCTTCGCTATACTTTCCAAGGCCATCTATTGATAGTAATTGTTACACATCCCAGATTTCAATATTATTAGCTTAATTGACTTTTTTTATACCAGTGCTGAATATATCCTCGTTTAGAGGCGAAAGAGGGCTTCGAGCCTCATCCACAACTGCGAATTCAGAATGCTTTAATTGGACAGAAGGCTGTGCGTCAGATGTGTACAAACTGAGCATGTACTCTTTCGAGTATTTGTAGGAGGGTTGATTAGAGTTAGTTTTCGGTTCGTTTGCATTGCTGTTGTTGCCGCTATGATTGCCACCGCGCATCCTATTTGTAAATAGAGACGATGAGCCAATTGCAAACCATAAAAGCATATTGAAAGTACATACCATTCAGGGCCAAAGTTCATTTGACTAGTCATTTCTGTAGTGTTTTATCAAGCGACAAAGAAAAAAGAAGAGAGAGAGAGAGAGAGAGAGGGAGAGAAAAGAACAAAATGTGGGGATTCCTTCTTCCTTTTTGAAAACCTTAAAATAGCTGTAGATGTGTAGTAGCACAAAGAAAAACAGGGCAAATTTCATGACGTCTTGTTTATTTAGTTGATGGTCTTTGATGGTGCAAGAATGGCAACAGCTCGATCCAGATCACCGGTGGAAACAATGATGTTGGCCGTCTTGAACGTACTCAAGTAAAACATGTTGATTTTGGCTTCAATGGCTAAAGGCTTGGACACATGGCGCACGATACCGCATCGCTCAATGTTGGATCCAGAGAAATGGACCTGAATGACGCGCAGTCCAGCCGCATCTTGGTCTCTCATCAGTGCGCTCTCTGGAAATGTGTCCAGTATCTGTGTATCTGCTATCAGTGACACATCCTCGTTGGTGTTGACGAATGAACAAAAGCGCTTATCAAGAGCACTACCACAGTATGAAGTGTGAGTACACGCACGCCTCCTATATAACCTACACTTACTCGTTTCCACTGTGGACTAGATCAGGATAACACAGTGTCTTGAGTACTGTATGAACCCAGCCTGATCTGTGATGTCGATTCAATCCCACACACTGTAACTCATTCACTAGCACATTGATGTCCAACATAAACTGCGTTGGATCCACTGGCGATAGACATTCTGCAGATTCAAGCTCTTCTGATTCTACCTGCTCCTCCTCTACTGTTGTTGTTGGGGGTATATTCAAATATTCGTCTTCACCGTATGTCTCTAGACCATCACATCCATACTCTCTTAGTGCCTGCATCACTTGATATAGTTTCGGCTCACTGACGAGCACAAAATCTGTTTGATATGTGGATATGTATAAAATAGAGAATCGTCCTTCTGCCAATGGCTCTGATATTTCGCTGATACGTTTACCGCCGAGCTCTGTCCTTCAGTATGAGCGCCATTGTGTGATGACTGGTAAATCAATGAGTTTACCTTGGCCGTACTCTTCATCCACCTGCAATACTCGAAATACACCACTCGCGACATCGAGAACGGGACAACTGGCTGCCTCCAGGGCAGGTAAGAAATCTTGCTCTACTGCCTTTTCATTAGCTACAATTGAGATACCATACGCATTTTCAGTGAAGGAGAAAAAGTATTCGTTTCTGCAAGCACAGAGAGTCAACACACATGATGAATTTCAAAAGGCCAATTACTTACGCATTTGTGTCTGTGAATAGGAGGATCTTGACAATGGCATGAGTTACTTGCGCTATATGAGACTTGGGAAAGTTGATGATTCTTAATCTCGGAGGAAGTAATGTGATCATAAGATTTGATTCAACATGAAAGAAAAGAAGGATGGCTTGTCAAGATTTTTTTTGGACTATGGCTTTGGGCCGGTGATTCAATGTTGGATGGTATCACTTTGTAAGACCAACAAGTAGAGATGCGGTCTATTTGATCTCGCAGTGTTTGTATAGATGCCCACATATCCATACATTCAGGCCAGATTAATACACCATAGGCCTTTGCACTAGCAATTAGCTGACAGATGCATTGACCTTTCCTACAATAACAAAGAAATACCCATGACGCTCAATGACTCATCAAGAGCACAACAAGCTGCCATTCAAATGATGATCCGAATGATTGATCCTAATACTGCCCGAAGTAACCTTTATTTAATTGCTGGATAGCCTTTTCATACATGTTTGGTGAATGATCCATAAACATGGTCCTGGAGAACATAATCTCCGAGAAGCGTGCTTGCACATCATCACATCTGCTAAACTTGACCATATGGGCCCTTTTATGCTTTGATTCTACCCGTGTATTCGTATTTGGAGATGTTGAGACATGCGATGTCGTATTAGACTCTGTGTGCTGCACCAATTGAGGCACAGATTCAATCAGGTACACGGTACTAGGAGGAAACAATTTTTGCGAAAGCATATCTGCTCTGAACGTCTTGATCAGAGCCCAAAACCATTGATCTTCCTCCTCCTCACTGTGCTGTTGATGCTCGTCCTTTTGCTGCTGATGGTTAGCAGAAGAGGAAGAAGGAGAAGGCCCTTTTTCTTGCTGATAACGACCAATGACACGGTTTAAAATCTCGTCAGTGACATGGCTGTCTTCATGCAAACTGACAGCAATGTTCTTGAAATCTTTGAGTAAGCCTAGACTGAGACCACTGACGATATCGTTGCCATGAACGACGCTGGTGACCAGGCCAGTGCAGTATTGACTCAGTTCAAGCGACATGACACAGGGAGACCCATACGTGTAGCAGTGGATAGGTCGGCCTGCTGGCAACCCTGATAGCTCGGATATCACAAAAGGACATGATACCTTCTTGATGGACGCAGCAGCAAAGGAATCCAAAAACTTGCGAGGCAGCTTACTACCGTCAACATTAGAGTCGTGGTCTTGATTGGACATCATGCGCCTTGACAAAAAGTGCAGTTTCTCTTCGCTCCAAAGCACACTCAGTAGAGAAGCGACACCAGCACCAAGCGAGTGGCCGCACAGCACGAGTCCATAGTGGGGATAGCTCTTCAGGCCCTTCTTGATTGCCTCAAACACCTTGCCCTTTTGTACAGCGAGTATCTGTGCTGCCTCTAGCATACCGCCATGCGCTACATATGTTCGCTGATGCCCCCCATTCGCTTCTTCACCATGCGCAATGCTGTCTGTAGGCAGTGTGAACTCCCTGTAATCACATGTCAAGTCGGTCAGCACATCTCCTAATCCCAAGGTACCTCTGCAAGTCAATACAATCGCCTCAGCGTAATGATCCACCGTGACATAGTGGACAAGTGCATGTAGCTTAGAAGGACTCACAGAGGAGAGAAGGTGGTTGTCGGTGTAGCTGGAAAGTAAGATATCTTGGATGGAGACGCCCGTGTGATGAGCAAATGCATGATGATTGGGGTGATGGGAATTGGGAAGTACGCTTGGGATCTTGCCTATGCCCAAGATACGCATGAACGATTCGCCATAGGCAGCGCTTGCATAGCGTATAAAGTGTGCAATGTTGCTGATAATGTGCTTCCGGGGGAAATTCTGTGGGTTGGGCTCCTGATCCAATGATGATATTGAGGCTGGTTTGCTATGTAGTTTGGCTGGAATAGAGGGAGAGCGTATCAAGGAACGCGATGTGGAGGGTGTTGCAGAAGAAGGTGCGTTTGGAGGAGAAGATGAAGCGGGTGTGGTGTAGTAGGTTGTTGTTTTCAGCGTGCGGGCGATGCTGGATAGTGAGGTCAAGCTGTTGATGGAGTTTGACTTTTGCAGGTAGGGCATATTGTTGCTATTCTGCTTCGCTGTAGTCAGTGTCGGCACAGGTGGAGCATGCGAGTGCTTATTAGATGGTTTCTTCTTTTTACCAACGGTTCCTCCTGCACTGCTACTGTTGTTGTTGATGGCATCGACTCCCTTTTGGAACAAATTAGATACACTCTTTTTCTTGTTGAGGTTCTTCATCTTGAGACCGCTCCAGGACATGCGCCTTTTAGGCTTGCTCTCGGGCTCAGAGTACGATGAGGGGTCGTGAGCAATGTCATCATCACCACTGAGGTCCATCAAAGTGGGTGCATGAGGAAGTGGCTTGCTGCTGTTGCTGATACTGCTACTGTTCTCATGATGAGTTGACGCAACGCATTGCGTGGATGATTGCTGCTGCTGGAGTGTGGTTGATGTACTCGTCATGGTGGTAATTGGGCCCTCAAAGGTGTCTTCCATGTCTTGCTCGTGATGAGACTGATTCTTCACCAGGCCATACTTTGTTTGCCGTTCGACTTTTTTTCGAGACAACTTCTTTGACACGGATGATAGCATGATCCTAAACTTGTTGTTTACTGGACGGCCTTTGTTTGCATGATCCCAGTTCTTGGGTGTTGAATCAGCATTTTCTGTACCCTCAGGTACAATCATAGCACAATCCCTCGGTTGATGTTCTACTTGATGATCAATGACAGCTATAAACGATTCTTTGTCTTCTTCGTTCGTTCTCTCCACAACTTGCTTGGCGTTCATTTGTCTATTTCCGTTAACATCAATGGGTCTAATTCTGGTGGTTCTAGTGGTGATGCGGTTTGTTGTCGTGGTGATCTCGTACATGTTGTAAGGATTGCCGTCATCATCCAAGCTTAAATCAATGGATCTGCCATTGAGAGTTGAATTGGTGGCGGAAGATAGACTGATCAGTGAGGTGCTATTGTTGTTAGGACTGATACTACGCTGATCATCATTCTCATCAGCCACGCCATGCTCTGTGGATGTATTGACGAGTATCTCTTCCAACTCATGAATTACGTCCGTATGCTGCTGCTCTAGAGTGGTGGCTGATGACGGCCGTGTTTGAGTATTGTCGTTTTGCTGGTACTGAACCAATGCTCGAGAGTTCTCTTCTTCCTCCACCACCAGGCCCTTCCACAAAACTGTTATCTTCATGTGCTTCATTGTTCGCTTGTGTGTGACATTCTGGAGTACAGCAAATGCAGTCATTGCTTTGGTGAGGCCTGATAGTATAGCCACTTTGCCGATTTTAGTTAGTGGAAAGTCAGGATCGTTCATCAGCTCACGGTGAACAAGTGTGATGATCGAGGCAATTGCACGAGATGACTCGTTGGACCCAAAAATGCCATCGATAATGCCAACAGACTCTTCGGCAGCCTACGTGTGTGGTTGTTGTAAATAGACGGTTACCTCCATGAACAGCTACTGGGACTCACCATCAATCCATATTTGATAGAATTGGATGTAAATTGCAATCCAGACAATGCAAATAGCTCTGCCAATGTAAACGTGTGATGGACAATATAGATGCCCAAGTTGGTATATTTGTCCAGTACTTGTAAAAACCCACTTCTGTGCAAAATTTAGTGGATGTTAAATACGCACGGGAAAAATGGTGTGCCTTACTTTTCATCGTCTATTTCTGTCACGGCAGTTGATGATGAATCAGTTCCATTTGCGATAGTAGTGATTGCCGTAGACGTTGCTGTCAATTCGTGTAACTTTTTAGCTGTGGAAAGAGCGTTGATCAGCGCTTGTCTAGATAAGCCAAAAGTGAGAGATGTGCTGTATTTTGCTGATTCTAGTAAAGCTTCTATAAAGAGTGACGAGCACCGAAGTGATAAACGGGCTGCTAATGCTATCGCTGTAATCAAACTAGCAATGTTCTCGGGTAGCAGTGTTGGCGATGCATTGTAGATTGTAGCAGAATACTTGGTGAGCTGCTGTGTAGAGACCACCATATTATATGGCAAGAGATCAAAATTAAAATGCGAAAAAAAAGGGGGTAGGTCTATTCAAAAGAAAATTCCAAGCGTATTTTGTATCTTAATATCAAACACCTTTTCTGTATTTGGATACATGTGTTACTGAATTCAATACTTCATGTGATAAACAATAAAAAAGAGGGCTTATTAAAATTGCTTGTTTGATAAAACCGGGTACCTAATAGCTCCTTTTTTGCTAGGAATAGTTACATGGTTTCATCTGCTGACTGACTGAATATCAACATTCATTGTTATTAGTCAATTGATCGTATATTCATCATCTCTAATATAATGTTTTGCTTCTATTGCATTATATAATATACAGTACCATGTGAATTACGAATGTTACTTTGAAACTGTCGAGCTGAATCAATCCAATATATCACATTGCAATTAAAACAGAGAGGATTCAGGTACAGAATCCCGTTTTTGGATCGAGATAAAATGATAGTTCCACATGGCATTCTGGTTTTTTTTTTTTTTTTTTTTTTTTTGTTCAGAAATAGAGATTTAAATAAGCGTGCCATCAAGCCTCAAAGCTATTTACCGAAATACAACCATTTCCACGCAGACTATCGTCGTAATAGGCCCTGATACCTGTTAGGTTTAAAGATATACTACACATATGTATGCATTAAATTGTGCATTTCTATTTAAGCAAGGTATACAAAGCAATCTATTTCTCTGCGCATGTTTACAGGGAGTATGCTGACATTGGCAAGTAAGCAGCTTGACTATTATTCATCCAAACACCTCGCAAGCTAACCATTATTATCTACGGCTTCACCATACCCGCCACGTATATGAAGCTTAGGCATTAGCAAGTGAATCAGTAATGTTCGTCATTTTGTTCATTGCCACATAACAGATTTACTTGATTTAAGTGTCTCTTTGTATATCAACATCATAGTTATTTGAAGGCATACAGCATTTTGACTGTACTTATTGTTTGATCACAATGATCTCATAGATAAAGATATTAATAGTATCAATACTTTCCAGATTATTGTTCACTGCCGTAGGCTTTAAAGCGGGTATAGCTTTGCTGCTGCATCTCTGATAAAGTTACTATGATCTAACTCCTTCACATGCTTGGAGTATGAGATTAGCAATGAAGATCTGTCGCTCGAGGCTAACTCGGAAGCCACATAATCTAACTACAAAAAAAGTATATAGTGAAGCGATTTTCTCTTACATGATTGTGTAAAGTGAGAACATACATTTATTTGTTATGCGTACCTAAACCCACCCTTCCCGAAAAATCAGAATTTTTTTTTTTTTTTTTTTTTTTTTTTTTTTGCTTGTAAATTTAGAGCTTATTAAATAAAGCAATGATGAGGAAAACCGAGTTGAGTATATCTAGTTCTTTTCTTTAACAGGAAAACGTGCCTCATTTATTGAATTTCTTATCATTTCCCCTTTCCTCATTTTGTTCGTATGCTCATGTTACGGTTTCTTCAAATGCTCACTAATCTACGTCGAGATTGCATCTTGCTCATACATATTAGCTGATATTCCTTCCAAAAAATGGTACCTTGAAAGACAACATTACTTAGTTAAGATGTACCATCATCTATATAGTATTGAGTGGTGAAATAAATACAAAACACTTTTTTACCCATGTATCATTTCTAAACCGAATCTCTAGATGCGAAGAAACACCAACTACAAGCGCAGATCACATCAGATCATAAACGTTAACACAAAGCTGCTGGATTTAATTACGATCCCAGTTATGACATGTTCAAGATAATACATTGCATCTAGTATCCTATCAAACCCTCTAACAGTTTACCCTCATATCAAATTCGTTAACTTGAGTAGTATATAAACTTTCTTATTTCCAATATAATAAACAGTATTTTCAACATGACTTAGACGCTTTTTCTGTATAATTTAGTACGAATCATTAATTATCATAGACGTCTTCAAAAGGATACCATATCTGGCCTCAGCTAAATCCAAAAAAGACAACTTTAAAATTTTTGAATTCCGATTTCCATTTCGTGTTCCTATTTGGCACCCCGCTTCTGTTAGGATGACGATGGTACAATTTAAATCTGTGTAGCTAGCATGGCTGCTGAGATATCTGCGATTGTTGAAGTTTGCAAATATTGGACAGATGCTATTAATAAAACTTTTTAGATTACTATATAACGGTGAGGTATATGTGTAATAAAAGTTATAGAGGGTACTTTGGTTGAGTAGGGGATATTTGACTTGGGCTTATGGAAGGTAATGCGAATGATTAATGACGGAAAATAGTCAAGATGATGGATTTTCAAAGGGCCATACCGCTGGATTTTACTAAGTGAACGAGAGGTTCAAGCTTAGTAACTTCTGTTTCTTTTTCAATTCTCTATAGGATGGTATAGGTTCTATAGATTAATTCTTGAACTTTTAAAAATCCTCTGCTTGTAGCTCATAAAATATAAGATTTTGAGCAAATTTATGAAGGGAGCGCACATTTGGTACTTGAAACCCTTACATTATAATAGATATAATGTAGAGCTATCGAAATGTTTTTGTCTTGTGCAAATCCGGTGAGTATTTGTCGAGATATGGCCAAAAAAGGGTATCATGCAAAATCATGGATTTTTTACGGAAATCTGCCTGTGATGGCAAGGGAAAAATCTGGTGACGATTTTTTGGTCAGGACAAGATTGTCAATATTTCATGATAGAGTTATGCCAGAGCTTCAAGCAATAGCTCATTGGATAGGAAATTTTTTGGTCTACAATGTTTGGTAATGCTTAACAAAATGTTTTGACAACAGATACTGATTAATCTTTATAAAACAGTCAAAAAGTCGCAAAATGTATCTCATTAAATATCAGGTGAACAATGTACACCAGAGACTTGAAATGAATACCATTGTATTCTCCTTGCAATTCTCTACAAGTTTTATATAAGTTTGAAGGGGTGGTTACTATCAAGAAACGCGTAATTTTAAAGTCGATAGATTTCGGAATCCCATGGATCATCATTCAGAACAATATAAATTGAAGCTCCGTTGACCTTTTGCACGTGTACATCACATAAGGATGAATTTGACCGAGCATTTTAAAAATCGGAGCGTACGAAAAGGGCCATATTAACTTGCTGGTTTTAAGTTATCAATAGATACTTGACATGATGAAAAATCTTGCTTTTAAGATTAAAGAGTTGTAGCTTGCTTTGTTCGATTATAGTAAGTCTTCCAATCTAAAGTATGTATATTCCCCCGCTTAGAAATAGCATATCTGATGTCGATTAACTCAAGAAGTAAGCACTTCCAATGCTAGGTTTCCCCTTAGAAATTGATCCAATATTATTACTCTACAACATATTTAAGTTTGATGAGATTCTAATTTTATCACCTATGAAGACCTGGATGTACAAAATGTTTTTTGATTTTGAGGTTTTCAAATTTGGACGATCGAACATCGATTTTTGAAAAAGTGATGCTAAAGCTTTGAAAGTAGCATGTTCTTATATCAGTTTTTTGCCAAGATGACGGTGGTGTAAACGAAATTTGCGTAGGTAGCATGGTTGTTGAGAAAAGGGAGATTTTAGAAAAATAGTTAATTATGAATAGATGCTGCTAGTAAAACTTTTTAAATTACTTTGCGAACGTAGGCTGTATGTGCAGTAGAAGTTGTAGTGGAAAATTTATTTGACTAAGACATATTTGTTATGGGGCTATTGAGGGCGGTGTCAATGAGTAATGACGGAAAATAGTCAGGATGATAAATTTTCAAAGGGCCATACCCTATTGTTAAGCACAAAGAATAAAAGGATTATTATTTGTAGCTTATAAAAAATGTTCAATATTATAAAAACAAGAAAAGACTTATTTGAATAAGATCAGACACAAAAACTAAAGATTTATTGATGAAGACAAGAGTTATTCTATTTATACTAAGTTCTGAATGCCAAAGTAGCAATTTATCTTGTACAACGCTTATCACATCTGGTGAACCTCAGTATTTAGATAGCTGAGATGCACTTCACTTATCATAGCTTGTCCATGTTGTTGCACAACACAGACATATCTACCCATCAAGAATACCTTAATCTTTATAGACAGTTGTAGCCCTTCTGGCACAACACCTACCAATTGTCAGATGCTTATATATAGAGATAGTATATGCAATCTGAAATCTGATCGAGATATATATGGAAGTAGATATGAAGAGTGCGCAGGAAGATATTATAGCCTTTTAGTTGAATGGATAAAAACGTGTCTTTACTACTATTATTAGATTTGGATATTGTTGGTTTTATCCAATATAGTTTGTGTAATGTTGTGTGCTATCCAGGTTAAACGCTGTTTGATGTTCCTGGTAGCTGGCGCTTTAGGTTTAAACCTGCGCTTCTTACTCTTGTTTGTGTTTAGCCTGTCAATGATATCCTGCAGATCTAAATCACTGTCAGAATACTCTTTAACCCTGACAAATCTGTCGTCTTGTGAAATGGATCCAATAGGTAGAGTTAACAAAGAAATAGAGTGAAACTAATATGTTATATCAAATGTTATAGCAAGATCTCACACTAAAGGTTTTAGGCTATTCTTAGGTCCTTTGGGTAAATCATGCTAATCATGATTTACAAATCAATTGTTGGGTAGATAGTAAACCTATTTGTATTATAGTTCATCATCATGCTGTAAACCCTAGCATAATGAAAAGTATATAAATGCATCCTTGGGATGCATTCTCAATAAAAGTGTAATTCTTTGGCAGATTCAATTTTACATTGTATTTTGACATAACAGTGTACTAGAGCTGATTCGTTTAAAAGTTACTGGCAGATAAATGTAAAATTATCAAAAGGTTTCCGCATAGAATGTTACAAAGTGTTTTTTTTATTTAATGGTGTTGTGAGTATAAGTAACAGATTTAGATAAATGTATATGTCTCAGCAGTATAAGTGAGAAAAAAAAATAACCTTTATTATTTTTGATATTCATATCAACTATAAAAGTTACTAACAAAGTCTGTGTGCACCTGTGTCGTGTGTATAGGTATAGTTTTAGAGTAGACTTAGATAAATGTATATAAAAGAATAGAATTGAGATATAAGATGATCTTTATTGTTTTGCAAACTAAGTTGATATTTACACTAAATTAAAAAAAGTTACACACAAAGTCTGTGTGTACCTGACACCTGACAATGAAAAAAAAAGGGGGGGTGCTTGCTTCTTTTATACTGACGCCGAAAGCTCACGTCTGGGCCACACTTCTTTATATAAAGACGCTGATGGTCTCACATCTGACATTTAACTAACATTGAACCCTTATATATGGTGAGAAAATCTTAATATTGTCAAATTGTGGTTTTCTTTAAATATATCACATTTTCATGGGTAAGAATGTAATGAATTGAAAAGTTTGAAATTGATTTGATAGACTTGACTATTCCCAATAACGGAAAATAATTTAGTTAAAATGTAATGGCAGAAGGTTCTTTAGATTATTCCGGTAATATAAGTATTGCTAGTTGCTGACTAGCAAATTCAGAGTGAATTCTTTTGGAGTTGTACTGTATAAACGTGCATCCAACTACTATCAAGGTAAGCTCTAGGCCATGGTATGGTATAGCACCACGGAGGTTTCATATATCGGATACTGGAAAATATGAACACAAAAGCGTCATCGTAGTTAATCAGAGATTAAAGGCTCTTCTTCCCAGAACATGGCGTATCTGATCAAGTGATTTCTTGTTTGCTATTTGGCTATGGATTGCGTGATATGTTGTTTCAAGGCAACACTTGTTGGTTGATGAATTCGTAATAATAAGTCGATGATAATAATCAGTTGTCAACTGTATCTAAAACGAAAGCAAAGAGCTTCTTTATTACAGGGCATCTAGCTTGCTTAAATATGGTAGATCCCTGGTTAATGACTACTACGTTGAGATGGTATATAAATAGCAGGCCACTGGGGCCTTATGGATTGTTGGTATAGCTTGTTGAGAGGTCACCTAAGTCGATATGTTTCATGTAGTGTAGGTGGATCTCGATATCTTGACATTGGGGAGATTGAATGTATTGTAGTTCCTGAGGCACCTGTTCACACACAATTGACTGGACTTGTAAACATAGATGTGATGTGATACGATAAACATCATCTATGCTGCTACACTGTAAAAGGTGGCTTGAGGAGAAAGTGAATGTAGCCTAAGATGCATGCTTGTATGCAACAGATGAGAACAAGTGTTTGGTTCTATTATGACAATCTAAAACGGCCTTGAACGCGAGATAACGCAGCTCAAATGCACTCAGATTTTGCTGTATTAGGCACACTAAGGACTAAAAAGTGGAAATACCAGTATGCTGATTGCCCGTATATGAAGTAGCTACGTGTATATGGATGTAGAGCGTCACATAAGAATCAGATCCACACATAATATGAAGGGTTTTCATGTGTAAGTAGAGGGTCAGCTTGAACGTAGTAGTATTATGATAAGATACACAAGGGTAACCGGTAGCTCGAGCTGTCGCTGTGCAGGTTGGTTCTCTACCTTCGCTACGCTTCGGTGAGAACCATCCGAAACATAAACACTACTCATATGATTAGTGATTATATATCAATCAACAATCAGGGTTCTTCTAACATTTTAGCTATATTAATTTTGGGATATTAGCCAAAGGCCCGCGGCAGCGCGAGCCGTTTGAACGTAGGCTGGTTTCCACCGAAGCGAAGCGTAGGTCAGGAAACCACCCGAAGTGCTGAAAGGCTCGTAATACTTATTGATTATGTTGAAAGATGCTGTTTATTGAATGCATTTACAACTTATATTTATACTATTTCTACGATCGATAATTACTTAATCAATGGAACTTTCGGGTAGATATAGTACTTAATATAGCAACTGATAATCAGATCAATGCCCGCTATCAGTTTCCAGAACCTTCGAGTATACGCTGGCGCCTTTTAGTGGCTTTTTTCAAATCTGGCATAAAGTTAAATTTAGGCACCACAAAATCATCAGTTGGCTCGTTTAGCTCAGTTTAACGTTGATTTTTATTATATACATGAATTCAATGGGAACTCGATGGGAGCATTAGCCTAGAATTCTAGAAACAAAAGAGTAGCAGGTACAAAAAACCCTTAAGGGGACACTAACTAAGAAAAAGGGAAAAAGGAAAGTGTGGTAGTGGCAGAGGAACGGCATGAATACTGGTATTGTTGATTTGATCTGGAGGAATGACCAACGGATGGGAACTTTGATAATTACTTACCACCGTGGCATCGCACCGAGAAAGCAAAAACAACAAACGTTCATCAATGAGCAGAAAACCAGAGCGATCCAGGATCTGGATCTGGTGGGATCACAGCCAGAGGATGCACAAGGCAATCAATGGCATGCAACAAAAGGAGCAAAGCAGACCAAAAGTACGGTGGACCAGCTGAAGCTTTGTCTGGAAGACAGTTCAGAGCATGATCAATGCGATGGATACCAGGTGGAGCAGGTGGCAAAGCATCAAAAAAGGTACGATCCAGAGCGCGACATGTCAGAAAGTGATCTCGGGAGATAAACTCACCGGTAGTGCACGGACATTCTTCACGCATATTGGTGAAACGTCCAAGACGCCACCGCACAAGACGACTACGAGCAGATCGACCAATAGGCAGATACAGAATGGGATCTGGACGAGAGACAGACGGACGACAAGCACGAAGGAGAGTCTGAGCACCAGTAGCAGCAGCGGTAGCAAGTTGACGATCCACTTGATCTTGCCAATACGAATCAAAGATTTCAGTAAGACCAGCAGTGGTGAATGGCGGCGGATCAGATAGTGTCAGATACAACGGGTTTTGACAAATAAATCTGTCTAGACGAGTGTACAGTAAGCCACGACGAAGCAGAACCAACAAGCAATCATCAGGAAGAGTATCAGCACGAAGAGCATAACGTGTTGTCAGAACGTTATATCGATGCTTCATGCTGGGAATACAGGTCAAATGTTTGGCAACATTGTACCATGTACTACCAACAAACATACCAACCAATCGATTTTGCAGAGCATCAAGAGCCTTGAAGTCACGGAAAGAGAGATGCGATATAGCTAAGCCGTATTCCAGCTTGGGTCGAATAAAGCTTTTATACAAACGAGCACAAAGCAACAGAGAAAAACCATTTCGATTGACACCAACCGAATTCAGCAATGCCATTGTCTTGATAGCACCAGAAGCACGCAGATTGAGAATCCCAGGGGCATACTGACCTTTATATCTAAACGGCATACCAAGATACGTGAATTCCTCTACCACAGGAAGAGGTTCACCGTATAGAGACAATGGATGACGAGTAGAGGCAGTAGGAGCACAAAGTACAGCGCATTTTGATGGTTTCCATCTGTAGCCAAGAGAGAACGAGTGATCTGAAGCGACATCCAACATGGTTTGCACATCAGTACGAGAGCCAAATATGGCCACATCATCAGCAAAGAGCAGGCTATTCACGCAAACACTAGGCATCCCAGGTGGTGATACCATAGTACCGCGACTGACAGCAGAACGAAGAAGAGCAGGCAGAGCTCGTTTAGCTCAGTTTAAGATTGGTTTTTATTTATATGAAATTTAGTGGGCACTCGATGGGAGCATAGCCTAATTTCAAGAACAAATATATAACAAGTAACTAAAAAAATCCTCCAGAGCACTTTCAAAAGGACAAAAAATGCAGTGACAAGAGTGCAGGACATGGAGACTAGTGGTGCTCACATTGAGGATCTCGAGGGACAACCAACGGATGGGAACTTTGATAATGACTTACCACCGAGGAGCCGCACGTAGAAAACAACAATGGAACATGTTCATCCCTGTCAGATCAACCAGTACGAGAGTACCAAAGAGACGCTGGATCTGGATCCGGAGCAATGACAGCCAGAGGATGCACAAGGCAATCGATAGCATACAGGAGGTTCAGTAGAGCAGGCCAGAAATCAGAAGGACCGGCAGAGGCATTAGTGGGCAAGCAATTAAGAGCATGGTCAATACGGTGCACACCAGGTGGAGCAGGCGGCAAGGCATCGATCAAGGCAGGATCAAGAGCACGACAGTACATAAAGTGATCACGAGAGATGTAGACACCTGCAGGTGACATACAGGGACACTCCTCACGCATGTTAGTAAAGCGGCCAAGACGCCAGCGGACCAAACGACTACGGGCAATACGACCAAGAGGCAGATAGAGTATGGGATCAGGCCTTGTGGTATCAGGACGACAAGCACGAAGCAAAGTATGACGACCAGTGACAGTAGCAGCAGAGAGTTGGAGATTAACCTGATCTTGCCAATAGGCAGCAAAGGTAGTACGCAAGCCAGCAGAAGAAGGAACAGGGTCAGGCAGCGACTGATACAGAGGGTTTTCACATATAAAACGATCCAACCTTGTATAGTGCAAATGGGCACGAAGCAGAACCAGCAGACAATCGTCAGGCAGAGTATCAGCACGCAGAGCAAAACGGGTAGCCAGGACATTGTAGCGATGTTTGATACTGGGGAGACAGGTAATGTGCTTGGCGACATTGACCCAAGTACTACCCACAAACATGCCAACAAGTCGGTTTTGCAGAGTATCCAGAGCAGTGAAATCACGAGCAGAGAGATGGGAGATGGCCAGACCATATTCAAGCTTAGGACGAATAAATGTCCTGTACAGGCGAGAGGAGAGCAGCAAAGAGAAACCATTGCGGTTGACACCAACAGAGTTTAACAGAGCCATGGTCTTGACAGCACCAGCAGAACGCAGAGACAGAATACCAGGAGCATGCAGGCCTTTGTATCGGAATGGCATACCAAGGTATGTAAATTCGTCAACGACAGGCAGAGCTTCATTGTAAAGTACCAGAGGAGAACCAGCAAGAGCAGCAGCAGTACCAAGCACAGCACATTTGGAAGGCTTCCACCTATATCCAAGAGAGACAGAATGACCAGCAGCAAGATCCAACATACGCTGAACCTCAGACTTTGAACCAAAGACAGCCACATCGTCAGCGAACAGGAGACTATTGATAGCAATAGGAGCATCAGTACCAGGCACAGGCAGCATAGTAGCACCAGTAGCACCAGAACGCAAAAGACTCGGTAAAGAATTGATATACAACGAGTACAAGTGGGGACTGAGCACTGAGCCCTGCAGAACACCAGTAACAGGAGAGAAAGCAACCGAGTTGTGATTAGCAATCAAGACAGAAACAGACACATCATCAAACATGTTGATCAACAGACCCAGAACAGCACGAGGAAGACTAGAACCAGCCAAAGCAGACCAGATAACACGACGATCGACTGTGTCATATGCTGACTTGATATCCAAGAAAGCGACAACAGGACGACGACGGTGCGCAACAAAGTAATCATGCATCAAGTCATGCAAGCAGAGGGCTTGATCCAGAGGACTACGTTGAGGGCGGAAACCACCTTGGGCAATGTCAAGGGCAGGAGAATGGGCATCCAGCTCAGGCATGAGAGAGAACTCAAACAGTTTGCGCACAACAGAAGTCAGAGAAATAGGCCTATAGTTGGCGGGATCAGAAGCATCACCTTTCTTGAAAATGGGAAAGACTTGGGCTTGGCGCCAGAGAGCAGGAGTATACGACCATTGATAGCACAATTTGAAGAGCAACGACAAGACAGGAGCAATCTCAGAGACCAAGGACTTGAGCATCTCAGCCTTGATATGATCTGGACCAGGAGCTTTATGTGTTGGGAGCCGTCGAATATGAGATACTAAAGTATCAACATCAAACAGTGACATGTCCACAGGCACACAGAAAGGCAGAACAGAGTCAAAGGTGGGAGGAGCAGCAGGACGAGTAGCAGTGGCAAGCAGAGAGCCATCATACACCGAGGCGAGATGAGAACCCATAGCAGAGACAGAAGCAGCAGGACCATCAGGGTGGTTGTACGTAGGAGAGGATTCTTTATTACGCTTGATGCGCTTAATAGCAGCAGTAGCTTTTGAGAAATCACACTCCAGGGCAGTACAGAATTGTTGCCAGGACCTTCGCTTTGCAGCTTGTACCAGGGAACGAAACTTGCGATGAGCAACTTTGTATAAGAACCATTTTTCAATTTTGGCAATACCAAAGGCATGCCTCCATTGACTATATGAGCGATCGCGTGCAGTAGCAGCATCCTGAATTTCTTGTGTCCAGTACTTCTTCCAATGGCCAGGACGACCGGATTTTACACCAATAGAACTATCCAGAGATTCATACAAACATTGATTCAAAGAATCGTTGAGTGCATCAATATCTGGACGAACACCAGGAGGAGCAGACACCAAACCAGAAAGAGTACCAACCAGAGGAGCAACAGAAGATCGAAAGGATTCACGGAGTAAGCCCAAAGGCGTCTCTTTCGTCAATTTCGAGAGCTTCCATTGACGCCGAGGAGCCGGAACAGAATCACCAGGAGCCACAGTGTCATCGAGAGGTGGCACATACCCGAAAGTAAGTGACATCAATCGGTGGTCAGAACCAAGAGACAGATCAGACTCAACCACCAGTTGAGGATTCACCAAAGCAACATCACCAATATTTGTCAAAAACAAATCAATGACACTACTCAATTCTTGCTGCTGCCGAAAAGAAGAGTACGTCGTAACGCCAAAAGCCAAAGACGCATTGAGCACAGACAAGCAATGTTCATCAAACCAAGGTTTGAGAGCATTACCACGAGCATTGGAGATAGCATCACCAGTGAGAGAACCCAACCGAGCATTGAAATCGCCACAGAGGATAGTATCCCTAGTCATAGGTAGTGAACTAAGGGCCGAGAGCACCTTATCAGAGGATAAGGGTGGAGGAAAGTAAACACAATGAACCGTTAGGGTGCCAACCTTGAGAGACAGAGTGTGCGGATTATAAGAAGGTAGTTGGGAGACAGTGAAGGGACAGGAAGGAGAGACAAAGGCAGTGATACCACCAGAACCACGATTGAAAGCACCAGGTACTTTTGAACCATAGAGATGGAATTGAGACCAGTTTGTTGGAAAAGAGCCAGATGTAAGCCAAGTTTCAGTAACCAGCAGAACCTGAGTATCCAGTACATGAGAGAGAACATCATGGACTGTTGATTGGCGAAGACCATTGGCATTCCAGAGTGAAAGAGAGACGAAAACCGGGGAGACAGGCACATTAACATTATTAGGCAGTATAGATGGGGCAGAGAAGGAACTCATTATTGATCCACATCAGACATATCACTATCAGATCCAGCCTTGTCCTGGGAATCAGAGTTCAGCTTGCGACGGAACAGGAAATCAGCCTTTTTGGGCTCCTTCTTAGCAAAGCGTTCAACGGCCTGAGCAACGGCAACAGAGAGACTTTCATCGCAGATCCAACCTTTCTGTATAAAGTACTTACCGACACCACTAACATTAAGTGGGCGGAGGAAGGACAAAGTTTGCAGGCAGCGAGCTTCAGTAAATTGGTGGATCAGAGCATGACGATCATCATCAGAGAGGCTGGCGTACTTGGGATCAGCAATATTGCTGGGGTCCAATGGATCAAAAGCAGGAAACAGTTCACCCTTAGCCTTGGTCAATAAAGCAGTAAATTCCTCAACGTATTGAACGTGCAACAGAACACCAATAATATGGGAGGCAGGAAAGCAGATATCCAAGACACGACCCAGATCAACACTAGCATTAGCTAGATGCTTACGCACTTCAGAACGTTGGATCTTTCGGGATCTACCAATATATACATATTGATAGCCCTGGACACCTTTGGTAGCAGGAGTGGTAAAGGCACGACCAGCAGCAAGACGTTTTTTGTCTTTTTTCTTAGGATCAGGCTTGTGAGCAGCAGCAGTAGCGATTTGGGCGAAATTAGGAGCTTCCTTGAGAGGCTTTGGAGACACTAGGATAGAGGAACTTTCGCCCCCCTTGGGTCGACCCGAACCAGGAGAAGTGGTGTGACTAGTAACTGAACCTTGTTGTAATTTTTGAATAACCAGGTCCTTGTCTTGTAAAATTTTTTTCAGATCCTTGTTTTCTTGTTCCAGAGCAGCCAAACGTGTAAGGAGGTCCTCATGCTTGTTAACTTTCTCTGTTACCAAAGTAAGTTGTTGCTGGATTTGTTGCAGTATCGCTGGAAAGTGACTCATATCCAGGGCTTGTAGATTGGTGTCCATGGCGTTGAATATTTTTTGAAATTCCAACAATTCGAAAAAATATGAAACAGGTGTACGACAATTCTGAAATTATAACACAATAAACTGTTGATGGATGCAAGTATACTGGTACAATTTCGAGCGGATTGGAGTACTGGATGATGAGATATTACGTTTTTTGTGGTTTTCAGGATGCTTTTTCCGAAGAGGGTGGCAAAAAGTGTCGAAAAACGGGAAGAGATGCCTGCTCGTTTAGCTCAGGCGAAAATTTATGGTTGTTTATTGATTACAATGAATTAGCAATGTAAAAAATATAGACTTATATGCATGCGATCTTTGGATCATTAGTTGCAAGTCCTGAGAAGCGACGTACA